AAAAAAAAAAAAAAAGTGAGATTCTATTTCAAAAAACAAGCTAAGTGTGGGAGTGCATATTGTAATCAAATATGGAAGTGAATGTAGGAGAATCACAGTCTGAGACAGGCCCTGGCAAAAGCTTAAGACCCTATCTGAAAATAAATAAAGCAAAAAGAGCTGGAGATGTGGCTCAAGTGGTAGACCACTTGTCTAGCAAGCACAAGACAATGAGTTCAAACCCCAGTACTGCCAAAAAACAACACCCCCCTCTTGCCCTGCCTAAAACAAAACAGAAAAAACACCATAAGAGCAGGGAACCCCATCATTTTCAAAGGGATATCAGGCATTCAATGTAAAAGTTTTGAGGCCAGAGATTAAAGAAGGATGTTAGAAGATAGGAGTTCTGATGGTGGCTTTTTATCACTTGGATCCCTCTCCCAATCTTTATCCTTGGGAGGTGTTTAAGAGTATAGGGGAGAAAGCTGTACTGGCATCTGCTGACCCAAACTGTCCAGGTTTAACTTTAAAGGATTCTTTTTTTAAATTTTGCAGTGCTGGGGTTTGAACTCAGGGCCTATACCCTGAGCCACACCAGCAGAACATTTTTGTGATGGGTTTTTTCAAGACAGGGTCTTCCCAACTATTTGACTGGGCTGGCTTCAAACTGCAATCTTCCTGATCTCTGCCTCATGAGTAACTAGGATTACAGGGGTGAGCCACAGGCGTGAGCTACCAGTGCCCAGCCAGCAATTACAGGCTTGTCTTTTGGCAGTACTGGCCTTTGAACCCAGGGACTCACACTTGCTAGGAAGGCGCTTCTACCACTTGAGGCACTCCACCAGCTCTAAGGGTTTCTTGCTCTAGAGATTAAAAAGAGCTAGAGAAATAATCAAAGACCTATTATATTTCTAGGACTATAATAGAAACACCCCCTTCTTTTTTTTAAGTGCTAGGGATTGAATTCTGGGTCTCAAGCATGCAGAATTCATGCAGACAGAGTAGGAACATGCGCTGTTATTGAGCTACACCACAGTCAAGAGGAACAATTTTTTAAAGGATGTTAAGGAGATTCCAAGATGGTGGCTAGAGGGAGGAAGCAGAAAGTGTGCCTCTTAAAGTAAAATCTTGGAGAGATGCTGGATGTACACCTTATAGGAAAAACCACTGAGAAGAGGCAAAACTTTGACCCCTCCACACCTCCAACGTGCGTAGAGCATCTCCACTTCATGTTAAATGGAGAAACCAGGAGGGTCCCTGGGCCGCAGCCAGATGCCAGTGTCCAGGCTGCTTGGGAAGAAGACCACAAGGTGAGCTAAGCAGCACATGTACTCCCACAGACAACTCTGGGTCAGATCAGCCTAGCCCCATGGACAGACTGACCCCCACCCAGGGAAAAAGAAAAAAAAAAACTGAATAATAAGGACAATAAAACAACAAAAAAAGACACATAGCAAAGAGGGGGGGGCACCCCTGAGCATGAAGGGGGAGAAATGGGAGTCGCTCACAGAATGGTAAATAAACAAGCTGGCTGGAGAAGGCAGGAGCAGCAGCACACACCCAGCATCCAAGAGTGGGAACGCTTGTAAAAGTGGCGGTGGGAGGAAAACTCCACAGGAGAGGGGGGAAGGCCCACTTCCCACTTGAACTGTAAATAAACACGCTGGCCTGAGAAAGCATGTGTAGTCTCACCTCCCCAGTGTGCTTGGAAAGGAAAAGCTTGTAGCAGTGGACGCACACAGGAGAACTCTGGATAAACAAAGACTGAGGGCCAGGTGAGTATTAAGCTCACTCCTGAGATTGCATAAATAAGCCTCCAGCAACAGCAGGCTAACAGCAGCAGGCAGGTGAGCCACAGGCCTCAGATAGCTATTCAGAGAACTGTCTCCAGACTTCCTTTTTTTTTTTCTTCTTCCCTACCTTTGATGAGACAACATGAACTACACCTGCATGCTGAAAAACACTTACTGAAAACTGTATTGCATTTGAACTTGGGAACACTTTGTAGTGTTTTTTTTAGTTTTCTATCTTCTCCTACATTCTGATGAGACAAACCAACTGAAAACACTTACACACTGCATGCTGACAAAACTATACTGAAAACTGTATTGCATTTGAACTTGGGACACTTTGTTAGTGTTTTTTTTACGTTAACGTTTGCTCTGTTTTGTTTGTTTTTTTTCCCCCTTTGATTGAGACAACAAGAGAACTACTTCTGGAACACCATCTCCAGGATTGGAGGATGAGAGACTAACACCAAAATTATTAAGACTGAAACTTTATGGCATTTGAACTTGGAGATTTTTTTATTTTTTTTAATTTATTATTATTATTTTTAAAATTTTTAATTTTCTTTTATTTTCTCAATCCTCTAATGCCTGTTCAGCTTACTGTTGATTAGTACACTATCTCTCCCTGTTTATATCTTTGAAATTTTGTTTTCTTTGGTTTTTTTTGTTTGTTTACTTGTGTTCCCTCTTTTAACTTCTTTGCTTTCCCTCTCCTCTCACCCTTCCATTCTAAATATCACCATTGTTATTACAAGCTAGAAAATACTTAATTGCACACAGTACAGGGACAATAACACCATCAAGGGCAATGAAGGGAAGACAGAAAAAACAGGGAAACTAGTTTCCCCACAGCAAAAAATTAGTACAGGAACCAGAGGGAAATGAAGAAAACAGATACTTAGATCCAGACTCCAACAAAATGAAGATAAACTATGCCAAAGGACCCAATGAAGCCCACAAGAATAATTTAAAAGAAGACATACTACAGGTACTCAATGAGAATTTTATAGAGATGATACTGGATATGGTCAACCAAAATGTACAGGAGACACTCAAGAAATTCCAAGACAACAAAAATAGAGAATTTGAAAAAAGCAAAGAAGAAATAAAGAAACCATAGAAGCACTGTATAAAACACCAAAGTGAAAAGAAACATGATTAAAAAAGAATAAATGAACTCAGGATGAAAAATAGACACAACATTAAAGAGGAAGAGACTCAGGATATGAAAAACCTTTGAAAAAAGAACAAAACAGAACTGCAAAACAAAATGGAAGGCCAATTCAGCAGAATAGAATAAACAGAAGACAGAATCTCAGAACTCGAAGATGAAATGGTAATTAAAGAAAAAACCTAAAGACTATTTAAACAACTCAAGACCTGTGAAAAGAAAATGCAAGAACTCACTGACTCCATCAAAAGACCAAACTGAGAATCATGGGCATCGAAGAAGGAGAAGAGATGCAAGCAAAGGAATGCGTAATATATTCAACAAAATAATAACAGAAAATTTCCCAAAATCTAGAGAAAGCTATTCCCATAGAATGCAAGAGGCCTCCAAACACCAAACAGACCAGACCAAAATAATCTACCCCACAGCATATTCATCATTAAAACAACAAATATAGAAACGAGGAAAGAATACTGAAGGCTGTAAGAGAGAAAAAACAAATAACATACAAAGGTAAACCCATCAAAATCACAGCAGACTTCTCAACAGAAACATTAAAAGTAAGAAGAGCGGGGTGAGATCTTCCAGGCTCTGAATGAAAATAACTTCAACCCTAGGATACTCTACCCAGCAAAACTAGCATTCAAAATAGATGGAGCAATAAAAGTCTTCCATGATAAGCAAAAACTAAAACAATATTTGACCACAAATCCACCACTACAAAAGATTCTTCAAGGGATTCTGGACACAGAAAGTAAAACCCAACATAACCATGAAAGGGCAGGCAGCACCAAACTACAGGAAAAGAAAAAGCAAGAAAATAGAGAGTAACCTCAACTTAGCTGTACACAATCAAACCTTCAAACAACTAAGACAACTAAATGACAGGAATCACCACATACCTATCAGTACTAACACTTAATGTTAATGGACTTAATTCCCCCAACAAAAGGCACCACTTGACGAACTGGATTAAAAAGAATGATCCAACAATTTGTTGCTTACAGGAGACCCATCTCACTGACAGAAATAAGCATAGGTTTACAATGAAAGGCTGGAAGATTTACCAATCCAGTGGCCCCCGAAAACAGGTAGGAGTAGCAATACTTATCTCTGACAAAGTAGACTTAGTGCAATACTTATCTCTGACAAAGTAGACTTCAAACCTACCATTGATCAAACGAATAAAAGAAGGACATTCCAACTAATAAAGGGGAAATAGACCAAAAGAAATGATAATTATCAACGGCTATATGACCCAATGTCAATACAAATTTTCATCAACATAACCTGATATGTTAACTCATACACATACAATTACTCCAAACAGGGGTCGTGGAGACTTTAACACCCACTGTCATCAATATCGGTCATCCAAACAAAAATCATAAAAGAAATCCTAGGATCTAAAATATTAATAGATCAAATGGACCTAGTTGATGTCTACAGAACATTTCATCCAACTTCTAACACAATCATACATTCTTCTCAGCAGCCCATGGAACCTTCTCAAAAAGATCATATCCATAGGGCACAAGAAGCCTCAGAAATATAAGAAAATAGAAATTATACCATGGCATTCTATCTGATCTATACAATGCAATAAAACTATAAACTCAACAACAAAAGTAAAGACAAAAACATGCAAACAGCTGGAAACTGATACTCATTGCAATGAACAATGGTCATTGATGAAATAAAGAGGAAATTAAAAAGTCCTGAACAATAAAAATGAAAACACAACCTACTGGAAACCTATGGACACAGCAAAGGCAGTCCTGAAGGAAAGTTTATAAGCCAAGGTGAGCATATATTAAAAAGATGAAAGATCCCAAATCAATGACCTAATGATACATCTCAACTCCTAGAAAAACAAGAACAAGCAAATCCCCAAAACAAATAGAAGGAGAGAAATATAAAA